GGGGTTTGGGTAGTAGGGTAGTATGGGTGTTGGGTTAGGGTTTGGGCCACGTGAGCCTGGGCTGGGTAGGGTGGGTAGGCTGGGTAAGGGCATGGCCCGAGAAGACCGGGTGTGGGGTTGGGGAACTGCCAGGGTTGAGATCCGGTGAGTTGCCGTTGATTCGAGCCGCCACGACCGCGGCCACGTCCCCGTCCTCGGTTGCCGCCGTTAAAACTCCAAGGGGAACTACCGTAGCCACGACCAGGGCAATTCTGCCCGCCCCCTGCAGGATTCCCGCCGCTGCTGCCGGTGCTGAGGAGGGCCGTCGACAAGCCGGCGCCATGGGTGGCGTCGTTTTGTTGTTGTTCGACGAGCAAGAGAGCCGAATGGACCTCCAAAAAGGGGGGGAACGGAGTTTGGTATTGAAGAAACGTAACCTTAGCCCGGATGTCTTGAGGCAAACCTTGAAGAACTTGTAGAACCAGGGCATGTTCCATCACCGGAGCATCCACATCATCGAGATAATCGACGAGATTTTTGAGGAGATGGCAATTTTCATTGATCGTCCGAGTCCCCTTGACGTTTGTCCGAAACCGGTGCTCCAACTGCATTGCACGAGCGTGTTTATTATCATGAAACAACTTGTAGATTGCCATCTAGAGGGAATGAGCGATGGGGCTGTTGGCGAGAACTAGATCCGAAACTTCGTCAGTGACGGTGGAAAGAATCCACCCTTGGAGTAAGGCATCAAACTGGAGCCATTCAACATTGTCGGAGGAAGAGGCGATGTTGGTGCCGTCAAGAAATCCCATGAGGTTGAATCGGAGAACAAGAAGACAGAATAATTTGCTCCACTTTTTGTAGTTTGGTTCGGAGATGCTTACTTGAACCGGGATGTGGAGTTTGATGTTGGAGATGGTGGTGAAGGCAAGGTGAGGAATTTTGGTTGGAGAAGTAGAATTTTTGTGAGAGGATACAGATGATAATTCGGCCATGGTAGCGCCAGTGGGGAGGTGCGGCTGTGTAATCGCCGGAAGAGAGGATCGGCAGTGAGAGGGCCGAAAAAGAGGAGAGAGCCGTGACCTAATGAAGCTCTGATACCATGAAAGATTGAATAATTTCCAATAATGATAATTTGTATATTACAAGATATATATACTAGGAGAGTCCACATGGTAACTAGTATATACAATATACAATAATAACTACACAATATATTAAATATAGAAACACTATATTTAACAGGTACACCAAATGGTGTACCCCTAACATTCCTCTTTTACGATTGATTGGGGAGTCAGGTAACCAAAAAAAGGCTAGGTGCTTTGATTAATTAATTGTTTTTTAGTTAGTTTACCGTGCAGATCCATAATTTAAGTATTTGGTTCACAATTTCAACTTTTGTTAAACTTTGTTTGTTACTTGTAACTTTTGTTAAGGTATTAATTGATCAGTTTTTTAGTCACTCCGTGCATAACTTAGCTTGTGTTTGGATGGGGTGAAATTAGAGGGAAAAAAAATGTTTGGAAGGAAAACACAATCCCAAAAAACTTTCTTCTCTTTGTTTGCAGGAGAAAATGGGGAGAGCAGCTTGAAGCACATGTAATAAAATACACCGAACGGAAGCGATTATGTGAGGATAACTGCTAGAAATAAAGACATATGTTTCTTGTTTTTTTCGGGGATAGTATTTGCAATTGGAGCGAGAGTGAGAAGTTTCATTTTTCTCCTCGTGGGTCATTCTCTAATTCTTTATTGTTTTTCATGCTTTCGAACTCTAGAGAAAACATATGAAGTAGGCAAATTAAATGTAGTTTTCAGAGAAATTAATTTATTTTATCTAATGATTAATAGAAAACACACGAATAAACAAAATTTATTGGAAGACCCTAATAGCAAAAGTAAATTATTTTGAAACAAAAAAAAGTGTATAAAATGAAAGGATAATATTGAATGAATATGAAGAATTTAAAAAAATTATTTTGGAGTACTAGTAATTAAAGGATAATATTGAATGAATATGAAAAATTAAACGGAAAAAATGAATAAATCTAGGGGTACATAAAAAAGTACGTCATTTGTACACCAGACAAACACCGATATTTAACACAAACACCAAATATTTATGTCTATATACATTTGTCTGGTGTACAAATGAAGTATCCATTTTGGCCTGTCCCTAAGATACCATAGAAAAATTGAAAAAAGCTAGGCATGGGATGGAAAGTATGTTTTACTCCAATGAGTTTTCTTCTCTTCATTTGGACGGTTGAAATACCAGTAAAAAATAAAAAGAGAAAAGAAAAAATCCACATAGGCGTTTGAAGGGACAAAACCAAACCATAGGAGCTGCTCGAATAAGAAATAAAAATGTTCATTCGCAGTTCATACGTCCAATCCCTTTCTCTCTCTCTCTCTCTATTCTTTCTGCGGAATCACTGTACCTCTGATTCATCATCATCATCATCATCGCTCTGTTCATATGGCTGCTCCGCATTAATTAATTAACAATTGAATTCAATCCAACACATTTATCATCTTCCAGCTTCTTTTCTAAATCAACGGACGAAGCTCTTCTCCGAATTCCCGATACCCTTTTAATTCGGCCACAATCTCTCTGTGAATAGTTCATTCTGTTGCGGAATTCGCGGAAAATCGATGTTGGATCTCAATCTGAGAGTGCTAGTCAACGGCGGCGGGAGTCCCCCGGAGGGCTCCGGGCCCGACGAATCCGGAACCTCCAACTCCAGCTTTGCCGGCGACGACGAGACCTGCTCCACGCGCTCCGGGGAAGTCGCCGCCTTCGATTTCGGCATTCTCGCGGCGGGGGACGGATGCGGCGGCGCCGTCGAGGTGCGGCCGGAGTTGCAGCTGTTCCCGCCGGGCTGTTCCCGGAATGCGGGTCGGGATTCCGGGTCGGACCGAACGGATCTCTCCTTCCTGTGTCGGGCGGAGATGCGGACGGAGGAGGAGAAGCAACGGCGGCCGCCGCCGCCGGCTCAGCCGCAGCAGGTAGTGAAGAAGAGTAGGAGAGGGCCCAGGTCTCGGAGCTCACAGTACAGAGGAGTCACTTTCTATAGAAGAACTGGTAGATGGGAATCGCATATCTGGTAATTCTTACTCACTAAAGTCACCAAAATTTATTCACCATTCTAATTTATTATTTTCACTTATTTATTTTTTTAAATAATTTGTTAAAATAAAATAATAATGTTCTTGTTTTATAGAATATTTTATACCGGAGTATAATTTTTAAATATATAAATTTTATTTTAAAATTTTATAAGAAATCACCCTAAATAGTATTAAAATATGTTATCTTCGTACCGGATTATTTGTTCAAATTTGACTTTTTGTAGTGAAAATTGCTTTGACCACTAATTAAATGAAATTTATTTCAGATATTGATATAAAAAAATAATTTTATTAGATTTATTTTATATAATGTTTTTAAAATATTATTTTGTCTATTAATATACCACATAATTTTTATTTAATTCGAGATCTAAGTGTAAAAAATGGTTGACAGCAAAAAGTCAAAAGTAGACAAATACTCAGAAATGGAGCTAGTAGCATATATCTTCAACATAGGAGTTTCATATTTTTATTTCCAAAATCGAAGTTTGTACTGTGACATTATTGGCACAGTATAGTGGCATCCCATTGTGTTTTTTGGTACTTCATTATATATAGACGTTATTAGCATCTCTTATCTTAACACGTGGCTTCTATTTTCGTACTTTCTTCATCTTTTACTCTTAATTTAAGTATGTTTCCGACTTTTATACTCCTTCCGTCCAACAATAAATTTTTCATTTTGAACAACGTACAAAATCCTGTCTTTTTTTAAAATTATTTTATTTTCAAATTGGTATATTATGAAGAAGTACAAAATACATTCTTCAAAATTACACCAAAAGTGTTATATTTCGTATATGAAACAAGATGTGACAAAAATATTTTATTATATCAAATGATTGATGAAAATATGCTAACAAACATAAGTTATCGATAAACCGTAATAATAATCAGAAAGATTATTATTGAACGGAGGGAGTACCATAGTTTAAATAAAATGAATTGAGATGAAGTAAATCATCACTGTTTGTGTATTTGTGCTTGTTTGTTTTATTTGCGGAGTGGAGTAATTATTAATTATTTATGAAAATGCGGTTGGTTGCAGGGACTGTGGGAAACAAGTGTACTTGGGTGAGAATAATGTTAATTTTAACTTTTTTTTAATTACTTTTTTGGCTAATTCCAGTGCTCTTTTTGGCTCTTGGCAGTCAATTATTTTTCGAAGTGTTTTCTGTTTTTTTTTTTAGTAAATTCATTTCATGGCCTTTGTTTTGGGTTTTGCCAGGCGGATTTGACACTTCTGATGCTGCTGCTAGGTAAGGACTGATTAATCTTTTATTTTATCAATTAATCTTTTATTTTATCAAGTAACTAATGAAAACGTACAAATAAACAAAAGTTCTCATGACTGGTGAAAAAATAAATGTGACAATTATTTTGAGACAGAAGAAGTATATTATTGCGAAAACAAATTAAAATAAAATGCTCTCTATGTTGCAGAGCATATGATAGAGCAGCTATAAGGTTCCGTGGGGTTGAAGCTGATATAAACTTCAATTTAAGTGACTATGAGGAGGACATGAAACAGGTTAAAATAACAATTATTCATTTGGTAGGATAATAAGATAAATCTACTTGTATCCAAAGATTGTACACTAAAAGTTTACGCTTACATTTTGTATCAACGTAAATCGAGATTGATGGCTTATATTGACACAAAATGTCAAAGCAAAATTTTGTGATCTTACTGACATTTCATGTCAACGTAACCCATCAAAATGTAAGTGTACATTTTGAAGTGTTATATTTAGGGTTACCTAGCATAGTTGATGATAATACTACACTAAGGCACTGTTCTTTTGGGTTGGAAAAATTAACTTTCAACATTTTTCAGCCCCCTTCCCGTTTCTTCCAACACCTTTCAGTTCCTTCCAAGTCATTTCATTATCTTTCAAGAACGACTTTAAAAAAGTATTTATATATGATGAATATATAATAACATTGTAAAGAGTATATCCAAATTTAGAACATATCACTTCAAACACGTACAAGGATGATTTTTTTATCCAAAATTAAAGTTTTTTAGATATGGATTTTGGTGATCATTTAATTGAGTCATTCTTACAACATTTTCCAACTACTTCCAGTTTTTTCCAACTTCTTCCAGTTTCTTCCAATATCCAACTCTGAAATTCCAACCTAAAAGAACAGAGCATAATAATCGAGGCCAGATATCTCATGTTCGTAAAATGTTATCCTACTTTTCAGATTATAGTTTTGGGACAAGAGATTTGGTCTCCTTACTCCCGAGTTGGTTTGATATTGACCGCGACTAAGAGTTGGCTCTGTGATGTGTTTTTGTTGCAGATGGAGGGCTTCACTAAAGAAGAATTGGTACACATGTTGCGCCGGCAGAGTACCGGGTTCTCGAGGGGAAGCTCCAAATACAGAGGTGTGACATTGCATAAATGTGGGAGATGGGAGGCTAGGATGGGGCAGTTCCTTGGGAAAAAGTAAGTATCCCTATGAATCTTGTTGTCTTAAAGTCTTCTGTGTTATGAACTAAGCAAAATAATATCAGAAAAATTAAGGTTATTCCCAACCAAAAACAGTTCATTCATAATCAAACAGTGTGAAAGAAGTTGGTCTTTGTAGACAAAAAGAATGGCCACAAGGCTGCCCATAAGTACAAAAAAAGAAAACAAAAAGGAGCTTACCAAAAGGGCACTTGAAATATTGAGTGGAATAGTTGCATAAGTAGCATTTCAGACTAGTTGGGTTGAGCTGGGTGACAAATTTCATAAGATTCATTCGTTCGGGTCAAGTATTCGTTCGTAGCGGGGATTGAGATGGTTACATTGCAGGTATATTTATCTTGGGCTATTCGACACTGAAGTAGAAGCCGCAAGGTCCTAATTTTGATATTATCATTACACACTGAATTGTCAGCCTCAACCGTGAATCGCCGAATCAATGCGTACATTTTTTTCTTCGTTTTCAGGGCTTACGACAAGGCAGCTATCAAATGCAACGGAAGAGAAGCCGTTACTAACTTTGAGCCCAGCACATATGATGGAGGAACTTCCTTGGACTCCCAGGATGAAGGTTTTTGCTTTATATACATATATAGTCCTTATGTTTTTTGCCTTAATTGCACACGGCTAACGAATGCCATAACGACCAATTAAACTTCTCATCAATACAGGTAGCCAACATGATCTTGATCTGAACTTGGGGATCAAAAGCTCTTCTCCAAATCAAATTGTGAGTATGGGGTTTCTTGTGCCATTTTCCTCTAAGCTAGAGTCCAAGTAATGTTTCTTGATTCTCCTACATTGTGGAGTTTCTTGATGAAGATGTCTAAATTTTATCCAAAAACTGTTCTTTGAACATAATAAGTTTCTTTTAAACTGAAAACTAAGCGAATAAATGTGTCTGGGAAAATTCTCACATGTCCCATACATTCAAACTACAGATGGATAGATTTGGTGAAACAACATATGGGAGTTTACAGCTAAACCTGCCTCCAATTACATCGCAACAACCTCAATTGTCGAATGGTTTCTACTCGCATTTCTTTCCTAATTACGAGGTAAGCTTTTGGAAGCGTTCTCTTAGTTGATGTTAAATATTTCCCGAGCCTTCAATCGCAGGAATTTTTTGTCGACTTGGTTCCTTAACATGATACCAAAGCCTTGTTGATCTAGAGATTAGGATTTACGAGATCGACCACAAACTTGGTTTTTTGATAGAGTTGGTCCCTAACAATTGCCAATTAGACTTTTTTTTTAATTTGCTTGGTAAAGATTTGATTAAGCCTAGTGCCATAACAAACTTTAGACTAAATCCATTGGATCAAACACTTCAATGGCTCGGTGCAGGCGATAGCAAATGCGAAAAGAATGGCCATAGGCTCTCCATCACAAGGACCCTCCCCAACACGGATGCCGGAAACAATGTACTATGAGGTCGGGACAACAACAACAACAAGAACCTCGGGGGCAATGTTTTCTAGTACAACAGCAGCAGCAGCATCATCAGGATTCTCAACTATGGCTACCCTTGATCCCGCATCATCGGTGAATCTCAACTTTGCCTCTTCTCATTCCACTCCATCAACGAATGCTTCTCGCTACCGTTACCATACCGGGCCACAGCTCTAATGATCTAATCTAACCTTCTATCTTGATTCATTTGTATAATATAGATGTTGGCTTAATTTAATACACCATCTGGATTGTGGATTATCTTGTCCACTCCATTTTGATCATATATATATATATATATATATATATATATATATATATATATATATATATATATATATATATATATATATATATATATATATATATATATATATATATATATATATATATATATATATATATATATATATATATATATATATATATATATATATATATATATATATATATATATATATATATATATATAGCTCAGACTCTTTCTTCATTTTAAGCAACATGGGGTAAATTTCTGTTTTGGAATATAATCTCAAGAGGGTTTTCTACTGTACATACATAGATACATTAATACCATGGAATCATTTTTCAATGGAGATTGTCATTTTAAATGCTTATCTCCCTCTCTCTTTATGTCAAGTATTTTGGTGATAGGGAGTAAATTTAATAACAAGTACAAATGTTACTTCCAATGTCTCACAAAAACTACACATTTCTTATTTGTTTTTTTGTCTCAAAATAAGGTACTCCCACCGTCCCATTTTATAACGCCTGTTTTGGTTTACGATGTTTGACTGAAATTATTTTCAAATCATTCTATATGACAAATGTTATATAATTAAAAAATAAAAATTACATATTAAAATATTACATCAAAAGATCTACAAAACTAGTATTGACAATAGTACTTTATTTCATCAAATTGCTAACGAAAATGGAGAAAGAAAGTAAATGAAGTTTGACTGTGTGAATAGTAAACAGACATTATTTAAATAGAATTGATATTAGATGCTGATATAATATTTATATATTTTGATTTATATTATCAATTTTTTTCAAAATACTATTTTATCTAACTAATATATTACTTCGTATATCATTACTTTTTTTTAAATTGAATTTTCCCCATCACTAAACTTTGTTAATTTTTTATAAAGTATTAATGCAACATTAATGCTTTTTCCAAAGATAGATATTAAATACAACAAACATAAAAATATTTTTTTGAGTATAAGCTTGTACATTTGAATTTGTTATGACATATTTTAAATTTATAAAAAGAATATGAATTATTAAGTTGTATATTAATAAGACCAATGTATTTCTATTAAAATAATATGCTAAAAAATAGATATATTTGTGGAAAAATCACACTTTAATGTTATATTATGAGACTAGCTATACTCCATTCCCGATTATGTCTATTCGCAAAAGAGCACCGGTCCGGATCGATTTCAATTAAACTATCAGTCTCAGACCGGATTGATTTCAATTACTAGTTTAGTCTCAATCTTTTTCATTCCGATCTCGATCTATTTTGATCTTTCAATCCAATTTCTTTGTTCATTCTCAAATTAGTTTCTGAACTCTGAATCGGTACGGGAGGGTCCGGTTCAATTACGAAGTACTCCCTCCGTCCCGCTATATTCGTCCACTTTTGACTTTTGAAACTGTTCATCTAAGCACTTTGATTCATTAAATTCTCTCAATGTGTAAGCCTAAATATAGTCATGCGTGATCTTGTTTGATTGGTCTTAACGTATAGATTATTAATATATAACTTTTGTAATTTTTTAATATACAAATTACAAGATAAAATGGATTAAAGAAGTGTATTGGATGGTGTGCAAAAATGAAAGTGGACAAATATAGTGGGACGGAGGAAGTATTTTTTTTTTAAAAAAATTAAAGGTGATCTGCCAAATTAAAGTCAGATGCCGAATGTGCAAATTTGTGTGTCTGCACCATCCGTTAGCAGTAAAAGCTACTACGTGTAAAGCGCTATGGTAACTTTTTGGGGGCAACATTAACATTTTGTACTGTTGTTCTGGCAACTGCACAGTGACCCTAAAGGCACACTGCAATGCCTCGACCCAGCAAAGTTGGTAGTGTATCATATTTGTTTTTAGTCCCCCACCTCCTCCATCACCACACGAAAAGGCAAGAAACTAAAACAAAATAAAATAAAATTGAATGGTGGATAAAAGGGTGGGGGACAAATGGGGTACACCTAAAAGGTGTACCCCTAGCATTGCTCTTGTTTTTATTCTACTCCGTGTTTTTAAAAAAATATATGTCAGTCGGACGGTCACTGAAAGTAGTTAAATTAGACTTTAGTAGTAGATTAATAGCAAAGAGTTGAGTTTGCACCTCGTACTCGCAGAGGATCCGTGCTTAGTATAGTTGCCTCCCAGCATAGTTGCTAGATATCAAACTCGGATATTATCTTCTAGGCAATCTTTATCTTTGTCAACTGCACAATGCCCACCGGCTCATGTTCTCATTTAGATTACGAATTAGGAGTCACACATTTTGTAGGGGCTTACGGCGGGGTTGGGGTGGGGGTGCAGGAGCGGGGTAAAATCAGAGTTTAGGGGGTCGAAATCGTCAATTTTACGAACGGAACATCGGAAGTGCTCTGAAATGACAGTAGTACCGCTAGTGTTACCAAAATTGGGTGTTACTAGAACCCCACCGTTTCATTAGTTGCAATATAATATTTATTCAATTGATTCCCAATTCGTCTATTTTAACCATGTAGAATTAACCTCAATAAAGATATGGGAAGAAATATGTTTGAGACCCGAAATTGGGATTGGAGATGGGGTTTCTTTTAATGAAAACCAAGACTAAACATGTTAAGGGCTTTGGAACACGTGGTGGACCATAGGTTTGTTGGGCTATAATTGACCCATGGGCCCGTTCTCATGATTCGAGTCAGATTGGGATTTTGGGTTTGTTGTAGGCGGGGGCCCATGAATATTTTAATTTTTTTTTAGGGGAGCAAAATTTTCATTCTTAAACAAACGTTTAAATGTGTGGTACTGAACAGGACACCCCCAATTGGCAAACACACTTCTTATTGGGTGTTCCCACTTTTGTCTCCTCACTCAATCATTATATGTTCTCCCTCCCTTAGTCCCTTCCCAATCTTATTTAGGCTACGTTTGACACACAAAATTTAAATTATGAAATTAATATCATTGATTATAATTGTAATTTTACTGTGTAATATCATAAAAATATGTGTATTTAGAATTACTGGTGTCAAAAATGAATTAGAATTGGAGAATTTTATTCCATCCAAATCAATTTCATAGAATTTCAATTCTCAATTTAATTTCAAATCCGTTAATCCCATGTATCAAACGTAGCCTTAGAGTTATTTTATAAATAATCCTTAATTACATAAAAAGATTATTGGATAAGAATAAAAAAGTATGAAAATAGTAAAATAGGAGCCTTAAGTCTTTTAAAATCAAAGTATGAAGGTAATGACAGTGTGGTGTAAGAGTACGCATTGAGAGTGTGATAGAAAAGTGAGGATAGTGTAATATATCAGTCTGAAAAGCACTCTGGTGGCCGATAGCAACTGATGATAGTGTGACAGTTACAATGTGACAATGTGATGAATGTAGCAGTGTAAAAATGACAGTCCGAACTTCTATTTTTGTCTTAGAAGACTTAAGACTCCTATTTTATTATTTTCATAGTTTTTTACTCATATCCTGGCAATTCTCCCATATGATTTTTTATATTTTCTCCAATTTAAAAATATTGTCACAATTTAACTCATTTTGTCAAACTATGTAACACTTTGAACATAAATTGTAGAAAAATTATATTTAGTGATAATGTAAGTACAGTAAAATTTGATTCATTTTAAAATACAGGCTTGATATGTCAAATTTTTATAATATTTAATTATTTAAAAATATACTCCGTATTTAGTTTGTAGTCAGAGTTAAGTCAAACAATGATATTCTTTTTGGAACCGAACAAACTATTTAGTCTCTAATTCTCAGATATTACTCCATAATCGATTTTTCAAAAACTATGTAGAAAACGTATTGTCATGTTTTGCATAAAAGACTATTTATGGAATATTCTCTATTCCATAAATAACTATCCCCTCTCTTTTGGAAATTCCTGAAAAATTGAAATTCATATTACACCCTCAAAAAGTGTCTAAAATTAAAATGCAACCGCACAAGTTTCAAATGTTATATTGCACCCTCACAAAATTTAGTTCTCTCCTTTTGTCTCTTGAGCTCATTGTAATGTTTTCTCATGTTTTTCTCCAAGAATATTAAAGGGTAAAATTATCCAATAATTCCTTGAGACTTGTTTATCAGATTTTTTTTGTGAAATAATACTGCTTCAGATCAACTCCAATGTACAGTACAAGGTAATAAAATTACTTAATTCATACGCTCTCTTGGTCGATGTATTCACGCCTTAGAGGGGAGTGAATTAGGCATTGAGAAACTTTTTGGAGTTTAATAAAATTGGTGTTGGCAATTGCGAATGTAATGAAAAATGCAAAAAATAAAAGCGTAAAATAGACACATCCCAATTTTAGACTAGTTCGGATACTCCCTACTCAGTACCTTAAGGCTCCTCAAGGATTTTGAATCCACTAAACTCGGTCTCAAAGCACTTAACTAGTTTGGCAAACAACCCTTGTCAATAATATTCAACTCAAGATTTCACAACGGCTATCTCGAACCGCTTACAATTAACATTTCACAGCTATCTCCGACCGTCCCCCCAGGATTTGAAGGCTATCCTTGAACCTTTTACCTAAGGATTTCTCGGCTATCTTTTACTGTTACAACTAAGAATTTAACAGCTATTCTTGAGTGTAAGAAAGTGTGCTTGAAAGCACAAAAATAATTTAAGTTCTACACAAGAGCTTAATAAAAGAATGAAGAACAAGACTTACCCATGTAGAACAAAAATATACTCTCTAGAAAAGATACCCCTTCCATCCTAAAGAGATCAACCCAGTCACTATTCACATGATCAAACTTTAATAACTTTCTTTACTTATTTTCGTTAGTTATTTGATAAAACAATATAGTCATGTCAACTCTTATTTTGTAGAACTTTTGATGTAGTTTTGAAATATATAATTTTCATTTTTTTAATTTTACACCTATAACCAAATAAATTGAATTAAAAATAACTTTAATCAAACATCGTAAACCGAACTGAGAAGATCATTTTAGAAC